TTACCCAACTTTTTGGAACACCCTGTATGACTTTTTAAAAAAATTGAAAATATGTAAAAAAACAAAATAAATTATGCGTGTCCAAGCGTTTTCCCGAAAGACTAACCGTTTTTTAAATAACAAATATTGTAATATTTGAGGGGCGTTTTCGCCCTCTTGGAATTTGAGATTCGAGAAACCCCTCCTTGTCGAACCTCTGCACCCCACAGATTACAGTAGCACCGGTCGCGTGTTATTTTATATATTTCTCACGTCTCTAGCTGTACTTGTTAAGTTGTACTCAGTGGTATATTTTATGAAACATCCTGTATTAATTTTTAAAAAATCTTAAAATATGTAAACAACAAAATAAAATATACGTGTTTAAGAGTTTTTCCGAAAAACTCACCGGTTTTTAAATAAAAAAATATTCTAATATTTGTGGGGTGGTTTCACCCCCTTAGAATTCGAGTTTCGAAAAATCCCTTCTTATCGAACCTCTACACCCTAAAGCAGGGGCGGCTCGTAGCACTGGAAGATGGTGAGGCACATTAGAAGAGAATTTGTATTAGTAGGTATATAGGGTGGCCATTAGTACGAGGAAGTTCTATGAAAAAAAAGTACATATCCTAAAAAAATATTTTCTTTAAAATTGCAATCGCATTACCATTTTTCTGTACAGAATTGGGTTCAGCATAAAATACAGCATACATCACACTATTGATTTATTTGAAGCACTATATATGCGGGATTTCCATGATAATTCATATTTGAAGAATGTCATCTTTTAAAAAGTGGTAAAAACCTGGAGTGAATTTAACTTATTGATATATTATTGCTTAAGTACGTATAATATAGCGAGGTATGTAGGATAAAAGAAGAAATCCGAGAAAAATTCACATTCACAGGGATTTTTTTATGGCGCGGCCAACATTACAATATTATAATGCTATATCTCAGTTTTTTTAAATGCAATACACACTGTATATTATTTTTAGTACTTTAGATACCTACAGACTTAAAAAGCGCACATTTTTGTATTTAAAATATTTCAAAATTTTTAGCAGTTGCGGAAATAGCCTTATGTAATATAATTCGCAGTATTATACCGTATGATCGAAAAAAAAAACGGCCTCCAGTTGGCTGGGAAATGACGATCGGTGACATTTCCCATATAAATTTACATATAAAATGACAGCGATCTTCATTTCATAGCCAACGCTGACGCCGTTTTTCTCGATCATACGGTACCTATTACATAGGGCTATTGCAACAGTAAATTTTTATCAAAGCGACCTCAGGATATTTTCTCTTATATTTTACTTTGTATGGTAAAATTTTGTTTTTCTACCCATCCTATAAAAATAAAACAAAACGAAATCTGTAACAGGTCGCTTTACTTTTTGACTATACACAATTTATCTAGAAATTAGTCGAAAAACTTTACCTGGGGAAGTCCTCTGATGATGCATGGTCCCTCTAAATCATCATATCAATCAACAAGAAGTCACTGCCCACTTTTTAGGTATTTACTTTATATGTACAATAATCACTAAAAAGAGTAATTAAACATGCAATTCACATTAAAAAACGTAGACAAAACAGTGTAATAACCGGCAGAATTAATTCAAACTCTGATTCAAACTAAGCCAAATTCCCAAATAATGCAATTCTGCATTTTCAAGCTGTCGCCTAAAATCTCTCGGACTGATCGGGAACTGATCGGGAAGTGATACATATTTTTAACGAACGGCTTTTAAGGTTCAAATTTACATTTGAGGCTCGCCTCATTACGGTCTTTTTACGCGCTACTACTCCATACGTTTTATCTCTCTTCAACTAAAGGTTTTGCCTATGCTTTTTCTTTTCATTCTATAGAGTTAAGATTCCAGTGAACGCTGTCGCTCCGTCAGTGCGATATACCACAATACGCTAGACAAGGAAAGGCGAGAGGCAAACCTCTGCACATATATTTCTTAAAGAACAAATGAGATGGATATACATCGTCGAGTTTGTCGCATATGGGAAAGGAAGCGCGTTTAAAGGAATACCATCGACGTAATTTATTGTAGAATGACGGTTAAAAAATACAATTATTATTGACGCAGATAGGGAAAAAAATATAAAATTGTGATTAAAGATGTATTGATTAATAAGTGTAATTTTTCAAATGTATTGGTGAGGCACTGCCTCATCTGCCTCATAGGACAAGCCGCCCCTGCCCTAAAGTCAATCCGTTTTCCAAAAATCAGCTTTTTACGTCAAGCGCTTTAAGCAGGATCAGATGTATACATTTTTAAAAAATCTTAAAATATGTAAAAAACAAAATAAAATATACGTGTTTAAGCGTTTTTTCGGAAAATTGACCGTTTTTTAAATAAAAAATATTGTAATATTTGAGGGGTGGTTTCGCCCCTTTGGAACTGGCATTTCGAAAAATCTCTTCTTATGCAACCTTTACACCCTAGAATCAAACTGAATGCCAAAATTGAGCTTCTTACGTTTAGTGGTTTGAGCAGGATCGTGATTAATCAGTGAGTCAGTCACTTAAGGATTTTATATTTTTAGTATAGATAATGCACTCGATATTTCTTAATCAACTATATTGATTCTCAACTAATAAACAATATTACAGGTTACAATATTAACACTCTGGTTTCTAGACAAAGATAAAACCGCCACTTTGTACATCGCCTGTCAGTAAACTCCAAATACAAGTGTATATAAAGTTGCCTACCTTACAAATCTTTTTATGAATGACGCGGTCGATGGCCAATATAAACTATATCTGTCGCACCTTAACCCATTATATTTTCTATTGGTAGTATACCTTACCTTGCGTCACGACCCGTGACATTTTGACCGGTAGTAGGGAAAATGGGTAAAATAAAATATTTTCAAGCGAAAATTGGACAAATTGAAAATATTTTTGAATATTTTAGGATGAAAAAAAGTAATTTACAAAAAGTATAATTTAAATAAGTTTTTCTAAATTGCTCCTGATTTTTTTTTGGGTGGGGGGGCTATGGGCATTTATTAACCTCATGGTTAAGCCGCCACTTGTATATGTTGGGCTAATAGAAACCAGTTTAGGTTGGCTAGTTTCCAATGTGACTGCAAAAAAGAACAACATCTGTGACAAAAACGGTGATAGCTTTCTACGGGCAAACCTAGATAAAAAGTGTTCCGTCTTGGACTATATCCCTGGTCCTGGGTATGTATGTATTGAATTTACTAACATGTTAATGTTCTCATGTTACTTTTCGCCCAATAAGCCTAGTGAACTTATAAAAGAGCTACTGACCGAGATAGAAACAATCGTCCGAACAAAGAACAAAGAAGCCATCATTGCGGGCGATTTTAACGCCAAGTCTCTGATTTTTGGCTCCCGGGTTGAAAATGAGAAAGGAAGAATAATGGAAGAATGGTTAGCCAGTAATGACCTCGTGGTCATTAATCGAGGCCATTCCCCCACATTTATGAACGCAAAGGAGAGTCCCTTATAGATATTACCATCGCTACTAATAAAATTAGTAATCAGATCACAAACTGGCGTGTAGTCGAAGACATCGAGAACCTTTCTCTCCATCGATACATTAGATTTGATGTAGTCCTAAATACACAGGGAACTAAAACCAACACCTCTAAGCACGGTTGGCGAATAACCACCAACGGACTACTAAATATACAACATTACTGCCTGGAACACGGCCTCAAGATGAAGTGTCCCTCGCCGGAAGGACTGGATAAATGTTTCAGAAAATTAGGAAACACATTTCTGCTAAATAAAAGGCAACCAGGCAGAAAACAGGTATACTGGTGGAACCACGATATTATCACCAAAAGGAACAACTGTATTAGACGTAGACGTACTCTTACAAGACTTAAAGCACACGACCCAGCTAAGGTGGAAAGTGTCATAGAAGAGTATAGGCTAGCTAAGAAAGCTCTAAAATTAGAAATTCTTAGAAGCAAAAAGCAAAAATGGCGAGAGCTATGTGATGAGCTAGACACCGACGTGTGGGGCAAAGCATACCAACTAACGATGAAAAGGTTCTGCAAAAACTATCAAGAACCTCTTGCTATAAAGATCATAGAAGAACAGATTGCGAGGCTGTTCCCGAGTATGCCGAATATTAAATAGCCAGTTAATCCACCAATAGACGTGCTTCCTTTTTTCGCCCAGGAAGAAGTACTTACAGCCGCCTGCAAACTTAAAAATCGGAAAGCACCTGGTCCGGACACCATCCCGGTAGAAACTATTAAAATCGCTACCATGCACGATACGCCTGCCGTAGCTGAAGTCATGAATATTTATTTATGACTTCAGCATAAGGCATTTGCCTTATGCTTGGCCAATTCCCAAAACCTTGGAAAGTTGCAAAGCTGGTCTTTATCGAAAAACCGAAAAGGGAAAACGACCACACCAAAAAATATAGACCAATCTGTTTACTCAACTCCAGCGGAAAGTTACTAGAATGCCTATTAAGAGATAGACTGGAATCAGAACTAGAAAAAGGCAACAAACTTCACCCTAATCAATTCGGCTTTAGGAAAGGGAAGTCCACCATTGACGCATTAAACATGGTGGTCAACGAAGTAGATCGAATTAAAACCAAGAGTTATCGACATAGAGGATTTTTGGCATTACTCACCCTTGATATAAGGAACGCTTTCAATTCGGCTCCATGGCTGGGCATTGCAACTCAATTAGAGCATAAGAGAATTAGCCCATACCTTGTACGCATGGTACAGTCGTTCCTGTCACATAGATATGTCAACACAGAGTACGGCGGGAAACACAGAATGACGTGTGGAGTCCCTCAATGTTCGATCCTCGGACCCACCCTCTGGAATATATTTTACGATCAAATACTTAGCCTGGGCAACACGATCTTAGCTTACGCGGACGATCTAGCCCTCTTAATAACTGCATCCACCTACACGATCCTCGAAGAAAAGATTCATAGATTAAAAATAGATTAAAAAATAGATTCAAGATTAAAAATAAGTTGGAAAGCATGGGCGTCAAACTGGCCCCCGAAAAAACAGAGCTGGTCATTCTCGTTGGACAACGCAAGGCAAAAGATCTAAGCATAAAGCTGGATAATTTAGTTATAAAACCTCAAAAAAAGGTTAAATACATGGAGGTTTGGTTCGACTCGAGCATGCGAATGACTTTACACGTCACAGAAATCAGGGATAAAACGACTGGCCTCATCCAGCATCTGACGAGAATAACTCCCAATATCGGAGGACCTCGTGCGGAAAAAAGAAGACTTCTCGCTTCGGTAGTTCATTCGACTATACTCTACGCATCGCCGATCTGGGACAGATCCATGCGCTTCAAGCATTACGAAAACATGCTAGAAAGGATAAATAGGAAGTTAGCACTCATGGTTGCATCGGCATACTGCACATGTCCAACAGTAACGGTACTGTGTCTTGCTAAGATACCTCCAGTCAGTCTACTGATTCAGGAAAGAAATCAAATATACAGGGTTGTTCACCACATACGACACGGAGTATTGTAGCTAAACGATTAGATTTTTACAAATTGTAAGTTTTGATTTGGTTTGATTTGGTTTGATTTTTCGAAATATCTAGTAAGCCATGAACTTTTTGAAAAATCTGCAGGGCGCATATTATTTATGATCCCACTAAACTTATTCTTTCCCCATTTCACCGACTCTCTATCTCCAGTAGTTTCCGAGATACCCATAGAGAACATCGTAGGAAACTCACCCTGTATTAATACATAGTACTTATTTGTATATTTAAAAAATAATAAGTTTATAAACTTGTGACGTTTAGGACTTGCAGTTACAGCTTTAAAAATAAACAGTCTTTTACTTTAGATATTTTATTGAAAAATAAACTTAAAATCATATAAAATATACAGGGTTGTTCACCACATACGACACGGAGTATTGTAGCTAAACGATTAGATTTTTACAAATTGTAAGTTTTGGGTTCGTTGAAGGACTATTAGAGCTACAATTTAAAAATATTTTTACAAGATACAGAGTGTCCCAAATAAATAAAAAATATCAAAGTTGTATTTTTTTAAATGGAACACCCTGTATATTTGTACATTTTTAGTTTCTACGATTAAAATAAAGGTAAATTTGATAAAGGTTTATTACACTTAAACCTTACCGTTTTTGAAATATTTTCAATTTCAGTCAAAATATTAAGGCTTCATTTCTCCAAGGGTATCAAAGTTTTTAAATTTAAATATTTACTGAAGTTTATTTATTGATCAGTTATTGTGTTGTAATAATAAAAATTATACTACCTTATACCGAGCGTCTAAAATTTTATTTTAAATAATTACTAGCTTTAAACGGCAATAACTTGTTTAATTTAAATAGAACACCCTGTATATTTTATGAGAATCAGATACACAATTTAATTGTCTATCAAATTGTGTTATACCATTTTTTACCTATAGCTTCAAGTTTCCGTAGAAAATGCATTTTCTGGTAATTTTAAATTCATTTATCAATATACCCATGGCATACTGACATTTTAGATTATTTTTAAAGATGTACCAAATTTTTAAAGAGTACAGATACTAATATTGTCGATATAGTTTGTTTATTTCATTAAAAAATAAAAAAACTGTTTAAATATTTGTTAAAGAGGACCAATTAATATGATTCCAGTATTCAAACTACATTAATTGACTGTTTGCGTTGATTAATAATAATTGCTCCAAAAACTAAAAAACTGAATTTTTTATGTGTATTAGACAGTGTAGTAAAAAGTAACACCTTAAAAATGATATTTCATTTTTTGACACATGCTTATTTGTAACAACAGAGACATTCATTTTTATAACTTATTATTATATTGATTTCTGATTCAAATCCATATTTATTTAGAATAATTTATTCACGAACATAATTAAGTATGTAATTAGCTAGTATTTGGGCGGAAACAATGGTGGTATATTTAATTAATGGTATACTCTTTTATGAAGATTTAAATAGTTTCCTTTTTGCGTACAAATGGGCTAGTAATATTATAATTTTGTCAAAAACGAAAATATTACTAGCCTGTACATTTTGTACATTTGTTGCTTTAAAAACAATCTAAATGGGTATATATCTTACATGGGTATATTGATAAATGAGGTCTAAATTATTAGAAAATACATTTTCTACGAAAACTTGAAGGTATAGGTAAAAAGTGGCATAATACAATTTGATAGACAAATAAATTATGCATCTGATTCTCCTAAAATATACAGCGCGTTCCATTTAAATTAAACGTTATTGCCGTTTAAAGCTAGTAATTATTTAAAATAAAATTTTAGACACTCTGTATAAGGTAGTATAATTTTTATTATTGCAACACAATAACTGATCAATAAATAAACTTCAGTAAATACTTAGTATTAAAAACTTTGATACCCTTGGAGAAATGAAGCCTTAAAATTTTTACTGCAATTTCACAAAATTGAAAATATTTCAAAAACGGTAAGGTTTAAGTGTGATAAACCTTCATAAAATTTACCTTTATTTCAACCGTAGAATCTAAAAATAGAATAATATACAGGGTGTTCCATTTAAAAAAATACAACTATAGCATTTTTTACTTATTTGGGACACTCTGTATCTTGTAAAATTATTTATAAAGTGTAGCTCTAATAGTCCTTCAACGAACCCAAAACTTAAAATTTGTAAAAATCTAATCGTTTAGCTACAATACTCCGTGTCGTATGTGGTGAACAACCCTGTATAAAAATGGAACTTCCTTCCGGAAAGAGGCCAGAAACATGGTAATAGAGCAATGGCAGACACGATGGGAAGCATATAGCGGATGGACAAAGACTTTCATACCCAATATTAAAGATTGGATAAAATGCGACCAAGCAAACACGGACTACTACATCACGCAAGCCATGACTCGCCATAGAGTATTTGGCGAGTATCTGCACAGGATCCGCAAGGCTGACTCTCCTAAATGCTGGTATTGCGAGGTGCCAGACTCGGCTAACCAAACACTATTTGAGTGTCACGCGCACGAAGATTTACGGGAAAACGCAGAAACAGTGTGTGGTACGAAGATTTCTAGAGTAAACGTCGGAAACCTTCTAACAACATCGAATGAAAATACCGAAGCGATTTGCGGCATGTGAAGGAACATTATGAAGAAAAAGGCGAAGGACGAAAAAGGCAAGATCTGGGTACAGACAAGACCAACATAGAAGTATATGATAATTGGGAACAGATGGGTTTTTAGTGGGTAGACCCTCTCGCATGAAGGAGATCCCCACACTCCGGCCCTAAAGGCGTTTCCCATCTATAAAAAAATATCTATCTTTTACACACGTGTTTGATTATATCTCTTATTTTACTCCTTTTACCGGAAGTATAGTATAGAACAAGACTGATGTAAGAATAAGACAAAAATCAATCACCTCAATTTGTATCGCACGTAGGTACACATAAACCTGCAAACTGAGCCACTCTCTTCCTCTTCTCCAAACAGCGAGTCGAATTTTTCTGACGTTCAATCTCGCCCGAGTCGCAATTCAATTTGCCGACACAGAGGCGGCGGGCGTGGGGGGGCCCCGCGAGACGCAAATCGGGCCTATTTTTAGACGAGGGGCGCTAATGACGACGGGGAATTGAAAAACAGAGAGCCGGGGCCCCGCTCTCTTGAATATAAATTGAATTTTTCTCTTTTCTTCTCCTTTTTTTCAGGGAGAAGATTCTAGGGCAGAGTAAACGTAGTCATTTTTTTCTGTAGATAATATGTAAAGCAAAGGCATGACTTCGATTGAAATTAATTTTCTAATTTAATTATTCTTTAGTTAGGGTTGAAAAGGATATACCGTGTGCCGACCTGGACATACATACACTGAAACCATTAATTTGTGAATTTAATAACAATATTGGAAGTATTATTTAACTTTCGGGCCAAAAACTAGGTTGACAACTCCTTCCTGGAAGGAGTTGTCAACCTAGTTATCAGTTATTCAGTTATCATTTATCAGTTATCAACCTGTTATCAGTAGTTGTTATCAGTAGTATATTATTGATAAATAAACAAAATTAGAGAATAAAGAACGAAAATTATTTGAAGTCGTTTTTATTGAAAAGACAATAAAAATCGAAGCAGAATTTTATAATATTGAAGGTTATTTCTTGCCACAGATTATTGTAGTAAATTTACCATCCGTTTATTAGTTTTACAACTCGTTCGCAAAATTTATTAAAAACTTTTATTTTGATTAACTGAATTATTTACATTTAAGAAATACATTAAAAATATATTAAAATCTAACATTTCCAACGAGTATTTAAATAGTTTAGTTTCTATAAACATTAAAATAAAGTGTAGGTCAATAAATAAACAAAAATATTGCACAATATCGTGACAACTAAATGTTCGGACACTTTAAAAAATAACTGTTTTAATATGGCGTTACATCGGCATGAACTTTTGCAACAACTGCAAGCCTGTTTGGCATTGTTTTTATTAATGATTGACATATGCCAGAGTAAAAATGTTGTCATAATTCACTGAATATCATCGTCAAATGGGAAACGGTTTCTTGAGGATCGTGAATCGTGGTACAATTATTTTTGTTTTGTTTTATGCCACATGTCTCCATAATATTAAGGTCCGGACTGTGCGAAGGCAATGACGGGACCTTGATGTTCAGGTCCCGAAACCATTTTTAGTAGTTTTAGCCGTATGGCATGCCCCGCCATCCTGTTCACAACACTTCGCACAAAACTGTTTTTCAAAATTTCTTGACACATTAGTTGTGCCTTTCTACCACCTCATACCTTCCTAGACCCATTGCGAACTTAAACTCTAAAAGAATAATGTCTTTAGGAAATTCCACTATCCACTTTCATAAAGATCATGCATGCGTGCAGATATAATCCTTGACATTGCAGTTTGCGATTAGAATTATCAGCGTCGAATTTGAACTTCTGATGTCACAAACTACAAAAATGACATTAAGGTAAAATATTTAATTATTTCCCAATCCGACGCTAATAATTCCAATCGCAAATGGCAAGTCCACGGATTACATGTGCACATGAGCAACCTTAATATCGATATAATAAATATAATCGAACACCGCTAAAGTGTCTATTTGATAAAGATTGCCTCAAAAGGACAGTGAAATTTTCTAAAAGCATTATAATTTGAAGGTATATGTCCAAAATAGGCCCAGAAAAGTATGAGGTGGTAGAAGGCATAATTGATGCGTTAAAAAATCTAAAAATTTTGAAAAATATTCTTGTCAAGTGGGAAGGACAATGATCCTTGTAACCAATTGTTCTGGTAAAGACCAGGACAATAATTTGATATTTCAACAGGATGGCGGGGCATGCCATACGGCTAAAACTACTAAAAAATGGTTTAGAGACATGAACATCAAGGTCCCCTCATGGCCTTCGCACAGTCCGGACCTTAATGTTATCGAGACATAGACATAGGTACATGGCATAAAACAAAACAAAAATTGTGTCACGATCCCCAAGAAACCATTGCCCATTTGACGATGATATTAAGTGAATTATGGCAAAATTTTACTCAATTAGTATCTTGTTATTTTATTTTTTCACGGGGGAACTTGAATTTTTTTATTAAGATAGGTCTAAACAAACAGCTAGTGATACAAGAAGTGATTTTTAAAGAATTTATAAACTTATCTCTTTCACCTTTCACTTGCTCACCCAATCCAAACATTTCCCGAAACCCATCCCCCACGTTCACCCTTTAAAGGAGGGGGCGTGGGGCTGTTAATGTAAGAAAACCATTTTCTTGAGTTCACCAGAAATTATTCCTAAGCGATAACGGTAAATCTACAGGTGTATACCTTTACCGATATTATTAAGTGACACGCTTTACAAAAAAATATTTTTTGCAGTCATAATTAGACCGGCGCGGCGCCGGCGTTTTGCTAAAATTCAATTGAAATTATAAAAAAATCTATAGATATTTTTCTTTTCGCCATAAATAAAGCAGCTGGGCTACAAATTACTTATTAAAGTATTTTTTTTCTATTTATGACCGCTATATCCCTATACCTCGATCCACTGTGTGGCGCCGAATGTGTCCATGGTTGGCAATAATGAATTTAAAAATCGCACCCTCAATTACGAAACTAAAAGTTAAGCTTCATTTTTTCAGTTTTTTTTTTAGATTTAATAATATCGATTAAATAAAGCTTCATTCAGAATCTCGCAATTCGATAGGTTTAGGAACCATCGGCGAGAGAGTACTAAAGAAAAAAATGTCAAACTTTGTAATTTCGAAATCCGAAAAACAAAATTATCTATTCAAATAAAGAATAATATAGATAGGTCAATCTATTTAAAAATGCAATTTATCTCAATAAAAAATAAAACAAAGTGCAAAAAGAAAAACTTCAACAAAAATTCAACCAATTTAATGCGAAAACCTTTTTACCTGTTGGTAAGCGGTTATTAAACACCCTTTTCGGCTCTTCAGTCCCTGGAGGACGTTTAGACCTGCCTCAGGGCTTGACAGTCCGACACGGGCCGTATATCACGGTGGCGCAACTCCAAAAACACCGCTCATATATTTTTCAGGCCGTCTGGAACGAGGGACCGCCTTGAAAAGAAACGGTTTTCGTGAGTCTGGTTTTATTCAAGGGAAATTTTTGAGAAAATCTTAAATCTGAAAGGTGTATTTAAATAATAATCTTAATCGGTTTCTACAATACGTCGATCTGTTCTGTAGCTACGGGCATACGTAAGAGGGGAAACGGAATTTACGGCGGTGCTATTTTAAATAACATTACTTTATCATCATCATCATGTAGCTTATTCCGTCCACTGCTGAACAAAAGCCTCCCTCAACTCTAGCCATTTCTTTCTATTTTGTGCCACTTGAATCCAGTTTTCAGCCACTCTCTTAATATCATCTGTCCATCCACTGGGAGGTCGTCCTCTGCTTCTATAGGCCTCGTGTCTTTGTCTCCATGATTCTCCTTTTTCATGTCTCCTCTGTTTCCATGATTCTCTTTTCAAAAGTTCTTTTCATGTTTAAAGGCATACGTGGCGCTCTACTTCGAAAAACAGCCATTATTTTGTGCCACTTGAATCCAATTTCCAGCCACTCTCTTACCCATACAGCACACTTCGTCCTAGGGACGTACATTTTATGTCCATTTTACGTCGGTACGTCCCGGGACGCATTTTTCCGTTTCCTATACGGCTAGCGCAACCGATTGCGTTAAGCGCATAGGAAACGGACTCGAGACCTGCAACTCCGTTTACTAAGTGATTAACGCAACCAATCAAATGATATTATTATAATGAGTCATAATATTATTATTATGACAGGTGGACCTATGGGTGGACCTGCAGGTGGTAAACTTAATAAATTTAAATTAATAATGAGGTATTTTTATTCTGGATTCCAAAAAAAACAACATAATTGAGAGATAAATCTAATAGGTAACTTTTAACGTTTTATATGCTAATATTGGCAAGGCAGCTCGGCAACACAGCTTTAAGACGTGGTTGATATGTCAATCTGTTTTTTTTAAATAAATAGTGCTGAGTCGGTGGTTGGTTCCTTGTGAAACATCGTTGAAATATTAGAATTTTAATAAAACACGCTTTTATATGTATCAAAAAAAAATAAAAAGAGTAACTTAGTTAGGCATTTTAAGAGTTCTTTAAAAACTAACCGTCTGACTACATTTTAAGGATATATAATATATTTGAAATCAATAATTGAGTTTACAATAGAGGTAATAAAAAATGTATTTAGAAATCCTTATTGGTCGTTTACATTATTATCGTTTTTAGCTGATTTTAATATTTGTAACTATTCACGGTAATTTAAGCGTCTGCCTTTTGTTTCTCTATGTAATAACTTAATTGAGTTTTCATTAACTGTGTGACTATTTAATATACAATGAGTTGCTAAACCGAAACTTCGCTGGAGATTATATTAATTATTAATAGATTTTATATGTTCTTTAATCCTTATATCTAAATTTCTACCTGTTTGACCTATACGTACATGACATTACAATTATAGCAATCCACCCTATATAAATCAATGAATAGAATTATTATGATTTTCATTGTTGGAATAATATTTTTGTAACTTTATTTATTTGATTAATTGTCAAATTAAATTGTTTAAATCTTAATTCTTAGAGTTTTGTTATAGTGTAGCGGTTACAAGTAATATTGAGTGTCCCATTTTCTGTGTCCTAAGTGACTATAAATAAAGCATACCTAGAAAGTTCATTGCAAGCGCTTCTTTGCATGGGTTGCGATGACCACTTAATAAACGGAGTTGCAGGTCTCGAGTCCGATTCCTATGCGATTAACCAATCGGTTGCGCTAGCCGTATAGGAAACGGAAAAATGCTCCCGGGACCAATTAGGGACCGATTATGTACGTACAAAAGTATACGTACATAGTACGTGCCCCATGTACGTACTATTTACGTACATTGTAGGACTTTACTACGAACGTACATGCGAGTACGTACTACGGACGTACATGCGAGTACGTAATACATACGTATTGTTGGAATGGAGTAGTACATACGAGAACATTCGAAACCTTCTCTATGCACCTAACGATCTATGGACTATTCTAGTAAACTTTGTATAAAAGCCGGCGGCTGTGGCCTAGAGAGGGCAGTTATAAATATACGAGTGCAGTTGACGCGCTAAAATTCAAAATAAATTCTTAGTTATAAATCGTTTGTAAAA